ACATCCTCAAACCTTCTACTCTGCTTCATTGCCCCAGCAAGTAGTAAAGAATGGATAAGAACATCCTAGGAGCATATTTCTTTAAACACAAGTCAGCAACAGCAGCCTCAGTATTTCAGTCCTGCTTAGTTCCATTTAAATCAGATTTTATAAATTAAATATTAGGATAAAAATCTAAACTAAATGGTAGCAATAATTTGAAAGAAACCTAAAGAAAACCAAAATAATAATTTGAACTAAATGAATTTCCAAATTGGTCTGGTTAAAAAAATAACCATTTCAAATGACAATACAGAAAATAACTAGATTGTGTTATGTATTGTGAACCATTGACTTTGCTAGCCTCAAGCACCTTGGGCATGTGACCCATATCTTCTGTGCAGTGCCTCGGATCCATGAACATCTCCCATGGTGCTCTATATCTGAGGTCTGTAAATTCTGGTGAGACAGAATTTATAAAGATTGGTGCTTGGATGAGAAGATTTACACTGGGAGGTGGGATTTTCTCTTGGAGAGGAGGGGGTATTGTGCTGAGGGGTTTTCAGGTGAAGATTTGTGCTATGTGGGGGGGGGGGATATTGAGGGAGGGGAGAAGATTTGTGCTAGGACAGAAGATTTGGAGTGGAAGTTAATTTGCGCTAGAAGGGAAATTGAAGTTGTCAGAGGATTAGAGCTAGAAGAGTTGTGGGGAGGGGGGGAGTTTGTGATAGAAAGTGGATTTGGAGAGGATTTGTACTAGAAGGGGAAATGGGGGGAAAAGAATTTGTGCTAGGAGAATTGGGGGGGGGGATTGTGTTGGGATGAGGGATTGGGGGGGGGATTTTTGCTGGGAGGGGCGTTTGGGAGAGAAGATTTCTGCTGGGAGTTGTAATTGAGAGGGGGTGGATTTGTTTTTGTGGGAGGCAATTCAGTGGTGGGGGGGTTGTTGAGAGGAAAAATGGGGGAAAGTAATGCATGGTATTTGTTGTGCGACACCTTCATGTAATTTTTCTGTGTTGTATTGAATGGCAATGGGTAGCTATTGTTTTGTAGTATACTGACATCTAGTGATTGGTTCGGGCCACCACAAATTGTTTACGGATGTAATTTTGATATCTTTCTCTGTCCTCCCCTCTTGCTTAGTCCTAGTTGGACCTAGTCCTAGACAATCCCCACTTCTTCCATCTTTCCTCAGTGTTATGTATTCACAAAGACAGGAAGTAGGAAAGTCATTGTCTTCTTACACTTCAAAAGACTGGAAAAATATCATCTGTACTGCAATTAGCTAAATTTTGTGTTGGATTCCACAGTATTTCTTAAGGGTTAAGCTGCTTGTGGATGGTGCTGAATCAGCAAGTGGCCATACTATCTGGACCAGGGGAGGACTGACAACTTATGGGGCCCCCGGGCAATAGGGGATCATGGGGCCCCTGTGTCCTTGCCCAAACTCAAAAAAGCCTATGAAAACGGTACCAAGGGCATCTCAGTGCCCGAGTTTCCAAATGGTCAGTCCGCCCCTGGTCTGGACAAACTGGGGTTTATTTACTAAAGCTGAAGAGTCCAAAATCAGACTACCTTCTGCATAGAAACCAATCAGCTTCTAACCTCAGCTTGTTCAATGAAGCTTTGGCAATGAAACCTGGAAGCTGATTGGTTTCTATGCAGAAGGGAGTCTGATTTTGGACTCTCCAGCTTTAGTAAATAAACCCCACTGGGTCTAAGGAGGTATGTCAATGCATAAATCAGGATTTGATACAGAATATTTTTGGGACATGTATTGCTGTAACCCAAAGGGGATGATTTTCTAAAGGCAAATAGTCTGTGCACTGCAAGTACAGTTTCTCTGTATCTGAGGGGATGCTCTGATGATTTCTATCATTCAATCATGTGCAAGCAAAAAAAGCTGTTTTTTTTTTTTTTATTTTTCTTACATGTGATTGGTTTTTCTTTGCAAAGTGAAGCTTTACCTCATTTACTAAGCTCTGGAGCAACTGCACTTGCACTGAATGGTATATTTGCCTTTAGTAAATTAATCCCAGTTAATTAAACAAACAGTTGTACCATCCACAGTCACACTACTGCCTCAATATAGTCCAGATAGATCTGGAACTCTCTATATTTCTTGTTAAAAATCTTCTCTTTATTAACTACTCCACAGTAACACAACCTTAGTACAGCAAGTTGATGCATTTCAGCCTAAATCAGCCTTTGTCACAGAATGTAAAAAATTTTATGAGCAATATACAGAGTTGCAGATCTGAACTATTTTGAAACAGAATAGTAGTGCTTGCAGGGGGAATTTGCATTCTCCTTACTTCTACACTCTGTCCGTGACACAACCCTCTGCTCTACAAGCAGTCCTTGACTATTGACTATTTTAAGTTCTTCTTTTTACATAGGATCAGACAAAGGGGTTAATATACTAAGACTGAAGAGTGCAAAATCTGGTGCAGCTGTGCATGGTAGTCAACTGGCTTTTAACTTCAGCTCGTTCAATTAAGTTTTGACAAAAAAAAAAAAAAAAACTGGAAGCTGGTTTCTATCCAGAGCTGCACCAGATTTTGCTCTCTCTGGTTTTAGTAAACCAACCCCAAAGTGTTAGCTATCTTTCTATATTCTGTGTGCAGAAAAGCATATTTCATGAAATGGTTTCATTTTTTCCACAGGGGGAACTCTGGCTAAGAAACACTGTACTAGGTACAGAACAAAACAAAAAGCTCAGCCTAGGGTTGGCTCCTGCTGGTGACTAAACCTCCTTACTTCTTTGAGAGCCATTTTTAGCCTAGTGTAAAGAAACTACGACCTTATTTTCCTGATTTTTTTCCCCAGGAGAAATCCTTTTAATTCATCTCTAACACTAAAAGATGATCATCTATCAAACCACTGGCTGGTTGACAGGCTGGATAATATAGATCCTGTCTCCCCAGTTCCAGCCATCAATCACATACAGTTCCTTGCTATATGCAGGATCAGGTGTGACAGCCCTTACAAGGGCAGCTGTTGAGTTTTTGCTCCTCTTGACATATCACAGTTTCCCCTTTTAGCAGTTGATCCTGCTCCTTCTCATGACAGAATCTTGGTATCCTGACATGGACAGATGTGTGGTAAGTGAAGGGTCTCCTCCATTGGATTCCCCTCTCCCCCCAATCTTGCATGTGATGTATAACGCTACTTCTCTCTTAAGGGGCACACTGTGGGGGTCCTCTTTGGCTGTATGGGGGATATATGTACTGTATTGTCATCCTGCCACAACCCTTTTTGGAGGCCTGGGGAGGAGATCTTGGCTGCGACCTCCATGACAGCTGCATAGGGACACTGTAGGTATGGGAAAAACTCTTTTTTCTTGCCTCTCTGTGCTGGGTTCCTTTAGCCATTTTTATCCCTTCGTGGACTCAACAACCATTTTGATTTTGGGGACTTTGCCCTTTTGGGCTCTCTCCCCTTGTGCATGAGGATGCTCTCCACAAATGCCTACCCAAGCTAATGCTGTAAATGTTTCCCTCATGCTCCTGCATGATAAATGACTGCTGGGTTGCTGTGTAGTTCCTAAGGGGGGGACATGAATAATCTTTGCTCCAATTACTCCAACACTGAGAAGAGATTACCTGCAGTAGACCCTGGCAATAAACTGCCCCCCCCACCACTTCTCTGGCCCCATTGCTCTTTCAGAGGAGTGTTTGAAGGTGTTTAGCCTGTAATATAGCCACCATCTCCTTCCCTCAATTCCTTTGCATCTCTTAAGATAGGGTTCCTATTCTATTCACTGGGGTGGTTCTTACCCTCCACATTTCTCCATCTGGCAAATTTGCATTGTCCATGCAGGGCCTTCTGGTACAGATGGTAATGCACCAGTTCCTCCCTGCAACCCCAAGATGGAGTCTGTTTGGTGGTGGCCTCTCTCCATCAGAGGGATCTGTTAACCTTGATTGTTGAAGAATGTTCACTGCAATGCCCCCATTTGTCCCAGTCACTTTCTTTGCTTTGTAACTGTGATGACTATTACTATTTCAGTTTTCACCAAGGGATTGTTCCTTATTCTGACCCTACTGAAACTGCTAGAGATCTGGGCAGTTGGGTACCTGCATGCCCTGTGGGTTGGTGTGGAATTTGTTTTGGCCCTGCAATCTAGTTTCTTGATGTCCATCTGGAGCCTGGTTGGCTTCTTAACCTCAAGAAATCAGTTCCTGTCCATCTGTGTGCCTCAAGTACATAAGTCTAGTCCTGCCCACCTAAAGCAACAGGCATCATGGGCCAACCTTTCAAGAGCTCATAGGATCCCTTCTTCCAGGCAAGATCCCTTTTTCACTCTGGATTGAAAAACAGATCCTGGAGAGTGAAAAATCTATTGCAGCTATTTGTGGTAGCGAGTCAGCTTCTATCTTCAGCTTGTTTAATTAAGCTTTGACAAGAACAACTGGAAGTGGTTTCTATGCAGAGCTTCACCATATTTTGCACTCTCCAGTTTTAGTAAATCATCCCCTATGTCTATTAACCACTTTCCCTCCATCCTATAGCAGAAATACTGGTATAGGGCGGCAGGGCTGTGCAAAATCATGTATATATACGTGATTTTGCAATTCTAGGTAAGGGGCATGCCCTACCTGCACCATCATTGGTGGCCTCAGCTGTCGATCACCGGGTCCCTGACAGTGATTCCCCACCGGCACCCGGCGATCGCCGAGTATCACTGATGGGGGAGAGACCTGTATGTAAACAATACTGATCTCTCCCCTGTCAGCTTCTGCACATTGCTTTGTATTGCTCTGCATAGCAGAGCAATACAAAGCAATATGCTTACACAGTAAAGCGCACACACAGCACACAGTTAACCCTTTGCTTGCCTCAGATGTTAACCCCTTCCTGCCCAGTGCCATTAGTACAAAGTCAGTGATTTTTTATTAGCACTGATCACTGTATTAGTGTCATTGGGGATGTCAGTGACAATTTGCATAGCAGAGCAATACAAAGTAATATGCTTACACAGTAAAGCACACACACAGCACACAGTTAACCCTTTGATTGCCTCAGATGTTAACCCCTTCCTTCTCTAGTGCCATTAGTACAAAGTCAGTGCTTTTTATTAGCACTGATCACTGTATTAGTGGCAGTGGGGATGTCAGTGACAGTTAGTCAGTCCCCCCCAGTGTCAGAATGCCCACCGCAGTCCTGCAATAAGTCACTGATCACCTCCATTACTAGTATAAAAAACATTTTAACCCCTTCACGCCTAAGGGTAAAACAAATCTAAATGCCTAAGCACAATTTTGCAACTTTGACATGTGTTAGTAAATTCATCCATGTCATCACAACTACTTTGTACATCCAAGTGGATTATACCGCATTTTTTTCAGGACAAATTGGGCTTTTGTTTGGTGGCAAATGGTAATGGATATCTCCTGATTTTTTTTTTTATTATCAAAGGAAAACTGGCCCAAAATAGTAAAAAAATTTTTTTTAAATTTAGCTGTGTGTTACTTGTTACTACCATAATCTACTACCAAAGAACAACCCAAAATAAAATTTCCAGCTCCTGACGATCGCAGCGATACCATATATGTGTATGTTATTTGTTGTTTGTACCCGCAGTACAGCCCAGAAACAATAGTACACATTTTGTTTTTTGTTTACCTAAAACACACTGACTGACACTAATACCAATTTTTTTTTAAAATCTTGACCTTTGACCCTGACCTTTTGGCCTTTGACCCTGACCCAAAACACTTACCCTGGCACTGAACTAGATCAAACCTTGATCTAGGTATTTTTTCTTTATTTTTTAATATTTCTTTATTTATCTTTGTCACAAAAAAAAAATTCCCTCTATGCCAGGAGTTAGAGAGATACATTGTATCTCTCTCCTCCATTCATAGAGAGAGAAAAAAAAAACCCAAGGGGGCTGGGCTGTACAGTGACTGATCACTGTGATAGCCAATCAGAGGCTATCACAGCAATCATGTGACCCGGAATCGGGAGTCCCGGGTCCCGATTGTTAGAACGGGACCCGGGGCTCTCAGTGACACCCCGGTCTTTGTGCTGTGAGCGCACAGTGCAGCGCGCTCCCAGCACAAAGACAGATATGCAAATATGCGGCCCCACAGAGAAAAAAGCCCAGTTCTGTAAGGCCGCATATTTCTGTGACGTCAAGGGGTGTCAAGGGGTTAAAAAAATTCCAGTATATATACCGCCATTTCTAGACGCTATAACTTTCACGTAAACCAATTAATTTATACATATTGGTATTTTTTTTTGCTAGCAAAGACATGTAGCAGAATAAATTTTGGCCTAAATATGACGACATTTGATTTTTTAATTTTTTTTACTGGACATATTGAATAGCAAAAAGTCAAAAATATTCTTTTTTTTTTCTCAAAATTGTCAGTCTGGTTTTGTTTATAGCGCAAAAAAATACCACTGAAAGCAAGCTCTATTTGTGGGGGGAAAAGGACATCAATTTCATTTGGGTTCAGTGTTTCATAACCGCGCAATTGTCAGTTTAAAGTAATTCAGTGCTGTATCGTGCAAAATCCTCTGGGGGCAAGTGGTTAATGGACAAAAGAGAAATAAGGTTTTTTTCTTTGCATTCTCCATTGATGGACATAGTGTTCTCTACCTCGGTGCTAACCCTGGCCCTAGAACTTACCCCAGAACTTTGCTTATAAACAAATTGATCTCTATGTTGAGACAGGTCAAGATTCCATGGCACTCCTAGAACACAGAGAAATGTCACATAGCAGTGGGGTGTCACAGCTAGGAACACTGCACCTCTCTTAGTTTTAAAGTTAAACATTTTTTCAAGATAATTTGATAATTTTTCTTACCAGTGAATGTTAGAGACAAATTTAAAAAAAATTCAATAAACACTAAGTCAGTAATTTTGTTGAAAATGCAAGTTTTCAGAAATTGTACACTCATTCCTTATCATTCTTGACATCTGGAGACATTATTTTTTGAGGTGAACAAAGTGCAACACTACATTTTTGCTAACAATTTGTTCTGTTTACAGCAAACTGATGCATTAAACAAAATACTAATTGCAAAAACAGTGTGCACCAAAACCAACTCACACTGCCAACCACATTCACCACACCTCCTCCACCCAATCTTAGTAAAAACAAAAATCAGCATAAGACATGCCTTAACAAAGCATGCTGGCAGGCCGGCCAATAGTAGAGGCGGTTCTGGGCTTTGGGTGGTAGAGGGCGATTGATTCTATAAGCAAGTACTGCATGGCAGTGTGGTTGTAGAGCTGCACACAGCAGAAACAAGGCTTGTCTGCTTTTCTTCAGCTAGAGCAACATATCAGTTCAGCCACATCATTCAGAGGAGATAATTGACTAGCTTCTGAAGACTGCATCATCTTCCTCCACTACAGGCACAGAGCAGCCAGTGTTTCTAAAGCACTCTCTTCAGCCTCCTACTCCAATACTCACACATTACCTCTGCAAACTGTCCACTAAGATAGGTCAAACACATCATTCTGGCTTGCTGCATTAGGCACTGCAAGCTGAGGATGATTGTACTGAGGTGCAAGGCTTGAATAAATGAGCACACCAGTAGAGCATGATTTGGTGCCTGTCAGTGCTCCAAAACAAGCCATACTGTAAGCAGAGACAGCTAAAATAAAACTGTCCTGCCACTGGCCAACTGTTTTTTTACACCTGAGGGTCTATCTGAGGGCTGAAGTTGTGCATGTGCCTACACTTTTTGGCCTGCTGTACCTGGTGGCGACTGATATGAATCAATTAAAAGTGGATAAAGGTGCTGCTGTCTGTGCACAAAGCTAATTGTAAAAGAAAGAAAAAAGTTTAATTCCACATATATTACATATATTGCCAAAGCATGCTGCCACTATTGATAACTGTTCACGAAAACTATACTGATTCCATAACAGTACAGCTTTAAGGCATTCCCTATACTGCCCTTCAAGCCCAACAAAAAAGCCCCCCTCCCTACTGCACTAGGTCCCCTATATCATTGCCCAGCTTTCAATTTTTCTATTTGTGTGCAAAGTGTTGCGTGCATTTGTATTCATCCCCCTTTACTCTGATCCCCCTACCTAAAATCTAGTGGAACCACTTCAGAGGTTACCTAACTAGTAAATACCTGTGTGTATTTTAATGTCAGTATAACTACAGCTGTTCTGCTGATCTTTTATTGAAAAGAATCAAGCAACAAAATCTTAAATACAGCTGTTCTGCTTAGCCCTCAGAGGTTTGTGTCACGTGTTCACCCACACGCCACACCCACAGCAACTAGCTAACTGTGCGGCCGTGACTTGGGGTAAGAGGGAATAAGGGGGACTTAACTTTGAATATATAAAACCGTATATAAGACCAGCTGTGATATACTTTCACAGCCCGCACTACCTCTTGGCCACCACCAGAGGGAGACTCCACTCCAATCCAGATGGCTGACCACACACTGGCAGATACAAATCTTACATACAATCTGGTGCACTAATTAGAGTTGAGGAGCAGCTTAGCAATCACACACCCTTCTAGGATTCTTCCAGCTATCCTACACCTGGGCCTCGTTAGAAGGAAGTGGGAGTGGTGCTGCTGACACAGAGTGGTGAGCGTGTGAAGCTCTCTGAGGCTTGGAGGCCTCATTGGGGCCTGGGCCTAAATTTTGGGCCAGAGCCCAAGCAAACTATGGCTGAGCCTGGCCGTGATCCAGGTGGTGGAAGGACCCCTAGGGCTCCTAGTACCGGTCCTGGAACAACTATTGAGGACCCTGGGAAAAGGCCCTAAGCCTGGGGAACCTTATTCTGAGTACAAAAACCGTGTGGCTATGCACATTAAAAGGATTGCTCAGGAGGAAGAGAAACTGACACAGATGAAGAAGGATTTGAAACGCCTGAAGGGCTCTTATGACAGAGTTTGGAGCTCCAAAAGGCAGGCCATGAAGCCTGAATTGGATGCTGTGGAGAAGGCGGTTCGGCAGCAAGGAGACCTAGTGGCAACACTTAAAGCCACAAGTGGAGTAATGAGGGTGTTAAATATCGCGACACTTATATTATTTAAGTGTCTGTCTTAGGCGTTTGAGGTAAAGTGTTCTAGTGCCAGGCTGATTTAAAACAGTGTGACTTTTATTGAATTCACACTTGGCATCAACATAAAATGAATACAAAAGATAAAATAAAATACAGAGTAAAATATAACAAAAGTTGTAGATTATGGAAAAAAGAAATTAGCTTTGAAAATAAATATCTAATGTCTTGCCTGTTCTATGACAAATGTTTCAGTCTTGGCAGGGAAGACAACAGGTGTATCAAGGCTTTGTAGGCCTTAAGAAAACAAAAATGTCAGTGCGAGTCAGCTGTATAATGTATTGATGTGTATCTGTGAGTGAGTGAGTGCGTGTGTGTGTGTCCCTCTATCTTAAGGCACATCTTATATATATTTTACCAGACCAACCCACTAAACAGTTATTTCCTAATTCAGTGTGAGCTAAATAAGTAAAAGCCTTTTTTGTACATATTCTATACTTATAACTCTTAGGCCCTGATTCACTTTTGGGCGTGGGCGCATATTTATGGCCTTAAGCCCAATTTTCATGGGCATCCGTCATTTTTTACCCTGCAACCTAATTCACTATTGAGCAGAGCCCATAAGCAGATGCCCAATCTAATTCACAAAAAGACACACGCCCGAAATCAGACTCACAAAACAGACTTGCTAAGAAGCAAGTCTAAAACCATGAAAAATCACTGCAGAGACATGTTCACTTAGAAATTTGCTTTGCCAAATATCAGGACTTCACTTTAAACAATATCTGCTATTTCCAAAAAAATTAAGAATGTGTTAAAAATCGTTTTTTTTTTTTTAAGGAAATCGACACAGTAAAAATCTAGACGCCCGTGCAGTGTCTTTGGCAGATAAACTGAGCATGTGCAGAACACATTTTAGACTTCTGCCATGGGCGTTTGTTTTTTAGCCACTGACTAATAGTGAATCTTACTGTGGATTCCTCTGACAGCCGACACTCGGTCGTGACTATTGTGTTTAATAAACAGCACTCGGCATATCTTCATGTAATCTAATTAGATTTCCTTAGTTCTAGTGATTCTATTTTTGTTTCTTATCCTTTATAATTATTTCTGTAATGATTTTACTTATTTCAAAGGTCTAGATAATATTTATTTTGACAGCTGAATGTAAAAATAAAGGTCCGCAATAAAAAAAAAAAAAAAAAAAAAAAAAAAAAAAAACAGCGTGGGTCCCCCCTCTCATCCTTACCAAGCCCTTCAGGTCTGGTATGGATATTAAGGGGGAACTCCACACTGAAATTTAAAAAAAAAACAGCGTGGGTCCCCCTCAATATCCATACCAGACCCTTATCCGAGCATGCAGCCCGGCAGGTCAGAAAGGGGGGGGGACGAGCGAGCGCCCCCCCTCCTGAACCATACCAGGCCACATGCCCTCAACATGGGGGGGGTGCTTTGGGGCAGGGGGGCTCCCCCCCCAAAGCACCTTGTCCCCATGTTGATGAGGACAAGGGCCTCTTCCCCACAACCCTGGCCGGTGGTTGTGGGGGTCTGCGGGCGGGGGGCTTATCAGAATCTGGAAGCCCCCTTTAACAAGGGGGCCCCCAGATCCCGGCCCCCCCCCCTACGTGAACGAGTCTGCGGTACATGGTCCCGCAGACTTATTCACAAAAAAAACTAAGTGTGGTGTAAAAAAAACACAGTACAGGGTCTTTGACAAGTCCTTTATTAAAACAATGTCCCCCGAAGTAGATCCAACGTCAATCGCGGCGGCGGCGGCAGGGACCCGAAAAAAAAAAAAAAAAAAAAAAAAAAAGGTTCCGCTCCAGTCCGTCCCAGGCTTCCAGCCTTGTGAAGAAGAGGCTAGCTGACATTTCTTATATAGGTATGGGGCGGGGCCAGCCGGGGACATCATCCGAGTGACCCGCCCCATGTCACATGCTTGCTGTTCCCGGCTGGCCCCGCCCCATAGCTATATAAGAAATGTCAGACTGTCTCCTGCATTCAGCTAGTTAGCCTCAGTGGAGAGACAGGGTGACATTTCTCAAATAGGTAAGGGGCGGGGATGATGTGCCGGCTGGCCCCGCCCCTAACCTATATAAGAAATGTCAGCTAGCCTCTTCTTCACAAGGCTGGAAGCCTCGGACGGGAGCGGAACCTTTTTTTTTTTTTTTTTTTTTCTTTTTTCGGGTCCCTGCCGCCGCCGCCGCCGTGATTGACGACGTTGGATCTACTTCGGGGGACATTGTTTTAATAAA